CTCATCCTCTTAAAAATCCAGATGATCCAGTCAAACAACCCCTCCCACATATTTGGTGTTCGCTTGTGTGTGCTTTACAATTACAAATTATTTTCCATCGCATGCATCCTTTTTGAAAGCAATGAATTAGTGCATGATGCAAATGCCTGTGAAAGTGTTTCAGTGAGATTTAAACCAGCAAGCATGAATTAGCTAACCAGTCTACTAGTACTGGGAGATGTAAATAAAGTTTGTTGTATGTGTTATGCATTTTATCAGTTTCTCTTAAAATTTGACTTTTTCTTGTTGCTACTAGGAAAGTGGTTGTCTCTTCAAGATAATTTAGAAAATGCAATAAAATCTCAAATTCATACTAGTTGTCTTGGAGAAATTTACATTTACACCCACTTCCAGTGTGGTCAGTATTTATTTAGTTTTTGGGGATTTCTTTTTTTTTTAATAGGATTTTTTACATGTAGGGTTAAAACTTGCAACCAATGCTTTATAATATTTCCGATAATATTTCTGCAAAGGTAAAAAAAAGTTCCCATCATGCTATCTCATTACTATTAAAGCTGCAGTATGCAACATTTATAATAAAATATATATGTTTTTTTATATATATTTGTTACAACTGTCACCATGTTGAGACAGTATGCTAAGAGACAGATCATTTGTGAAAAGATCGATTTTCTCCACTGCCTCCATGTCCTACTATTGCGGTCTCAAGAAATGTATCGCTCTGACTAACTAGAAATAACCAATCAAAACCGGGAGGAGGGTCTTAGGCTTTCAATCAAGCTCATGTACTCACCACTAAACTTGCTAATGGCTAAGAAGCAACTTACCAATACAAGAAAACCAGCTGTCTGACCTCAACCATACACAATCAGCTAAAATCTGCAGATACTTGAAATTCCTTCTAAAAACAGCTGCGTATTTTAATAGTTCAAACACCAAAATAAAATATATATTAATCAGAACAGAGGAAACCATCTTCGCACTACACATGAAGGGGGAAAAGAACAGCAGCTTCCAGAGAGGAGCTTCTGAGAATATTCTCAAAGGACATCAGGGAAAATCTTTTGCTCAATTCAGTTCAGATTTATTTATATAGTGCCAGATCACAACAAATGTCTTGAAACGTGTTACAAAAAAATTCAGTCAGACCTACGTTAAAATTGGTCCTAGTTATCAAACGGTACAGTAAGTTCAATTCATTATCCAAAGTAGTTGAAAATGATTTGTAACCAAAGAAACCCAGCAGACTGCATCAAGTCATTGACTTCCACTGACTCAACTTGCAATGTTAGTCATTGACCTTAACAACTAACTGAGTCAGGTTTGAAATAAAAACAGCTTGTACTGTCATATTAGCAAATGTTATATTTCAAAGTAATTCTGGTTCTATTTAAAAGGAAATGATCAGCTGGAGGAAAGGAAGCGACAGCTGAACCTACCAATAAACTCATTACTCTCCATTAAGGAGCAGGCATCGCAAATTAGTCCAATGCCACAAATATAGTATTAAGTGTGTGGTGTTTGTTAATGGTTCCTTATCATTTTTGCTGCTTTCTTTCATCACTTTTAGCTCCTGTTTTCCTGTTGGTTGTATATCTCTCTGGTTTTGCTCTGTTGTTATCAGTTATCACTTGTTTGGTTTTAGATTCGTGTCTTGGCTCGCAAACCGGCTGCATCGCATTCTGCAGATTTTGTTGTTGGTGAGTCATAAAGACCTGTTTTGACCTTCCTTCTGGGAAGGTGTTTTTGTTAGCATCATGTTGCAAAGTAAAAGTAGAGGACTGTGAAAAAAAGAGATTTGACCCACACACAGCTGTTATTTAATTTGAAATGACCTTGGTGAAAAAAAATATGGTGATATGCTGCACATTTACTATTTTTTTGTGAACCAAAGAAGGGTTTTATTTTTTGCAAAAATAAAAATAAAAAATAAAATAAAATAAAATAAATAAATAAATAAATAAATAAATAAATAAATAAATAAATAAAAATAATCAACAGAAAAACAGTGCCAATAATTAATAATAACTGGGCCAATAATTAATAATTGTTAGTGTCCACTAGGTGGCGCCAAAAGACCAAGTGGCTTTAGTGTAGAGGGCGGGACTGAAGCAGGATCCGAGTTATTGTCATCACTACCACACCTTATCATCCTGGCTCTCTGGATAGGAACCTGCAGCCTGCTCTCCTTGCAGCCCCCCTTCCTCCTCCCCCTTTTCCTCCTCCTCCTCATTTGTCGAACGGCTGTAGTGCGCACTGAGCAACGGCAGTGCGCAAAAGGGCCGGCATGCACCTGGAGGAACCCGCCCTGTAAAGCCGGTTCCAGACTCTGTTCGGAGTTTCAGCCGGATTGCAGGAGGTTGCTCTAACAGCATGAATATAGCGGGGCGGGTGCTGGAGCTGAAGCTGCAACATGGGCGTGGGTCGAAACGAGCGGGATGTAATTTCGCGGACATAGTTCGGCAAAAGAGAGGACCGTGCAAAAGGATCCGAGTTGTGATCTGAGCTCGGGTTCGCTCGGATTCACCACACGCAGCACTTTCCCGTCCCTGACCGGAATGATGGAGAAGGGCGCGTTGCAGCAGCAGCAGCAGCCTCTGTCCAAGAGCGCGGAGCGTCCGGCGGAGGATGTCGCCAAAATCCCCGACCAGGAGCTGCTGAGGTGGAGCAAACCGGAGCTGGTGCGGCGGCTGCGCCAGACGGAGACGGAGAAGAGGGCCGTCATCGTGGAGCACGGCAATCTGATGCGTGAGGTGAACCGGAGGCTTCAGCAGCACCTCACGGAGATCCGGAGTCTCAAGGTGAGGAAGAGTGGGGAGGGGCCCGGGGAGCAGAGGAGCAGCAGCAGGGGCCCCCTCAGGGTTTCAACTCGTTTAGTTACAGGAGGAGCGAGCGAGCATGCTGTCAGGGTGCACATCTGTGTGGAATGTCAAAATGAAACGCTGCAAATACATCCTGCAGAAGTATTCACACCACTTCAACTTTTGCCACATTTTTTTTCCCTTCCAAGTTCCAACCACAAATTTCACTCGATTTTATGTGACAGACTCAAAGTAGCACTTCGTGATTTTAAAAAATTCTTCAACTAATGCAATAATAAGAGTTGGCGTGCATTTGTTTTCAGCCCCATTTACATGGATACGCTTGAATAAAATCCAATGTAAGCAAACTTCAGAAGCAGAGAGATAAGAGTTGACTTGAAGGTAGATAGAGCTCAACACGGAACGATAGCAGAAGATGATGACCTGTTAGAGGTTGTGGAAGGTTGGAGACGAGGGTGGAGGTTCACCTTCCAGCAGGACACCCAGTCTGAACACTTACAGGGTGGCAAGTGAAGAGTTGAAGAGTTGAAGTCCAGACCTAAATCTCTTTAAGAATCTGTGTGAAGTCATTAAACAGATGTTCACAGATGTTCTCCATACGATCTGAATGAGCGTCATCTGCTTTATGGAGAGGAACGAACATAGATGTCCATACAGACTGACATAGTCTAGATCACGTGTCAAACTCAAGGCCCGGGGGCCGAATCTGGTCCGACCTAGCTCTTTATGTGGCCCTCTAGACTCCAAATTACATCAGTAAGTCCCTCCAGTTTTTTCACAAATCCTCAAAATTTACACAAAATCAACAGATCTCCACATTTCTTTCTGATTTTACTGCAAGTTTTTCTCAAAATTGGTCAAACAATGGGTTTAAGTCACTGCTGCCTCAGCCTTATTTGACATCAAGTTATAATGTGTGACCGATACAGCAAGAAATAAAGAACCACATTTGACGTCATACAAATAAGCACAAATATAAAAAAATTCCTTACAAATATTTCCAAATTAGCATTGCAAAATATGTGATTTTGATTACAAAAGCCACCAAAACAATCAGAAAATCCTGGAAGGTTAGCTATTTAATAATATTTTAACAGTTTAATTGGTTTTATCTATACATTCTGGCACAACCGGCCCTTTAAGAACATTGAGATTTTTGATATGGCCCAAAATGAAACTGAGTTTGATAACCTGGTCTGGATGTTTAGAGCTGGTAGAGACAAACCCAAAAAGACCTGCAGCCGGACCTGTAGCCAGAGCTGGTTCCAAGTGTTGGCTCTCGGGGACTATAGATGGAAGACACATTTTAAGATTTTCTCTATACTTAAAAAAATTAAATGTAAACTCATCATTTACCGTCCACTTCACAAATATGCATTATTTTGTGTAAATCTGTAACATAAAATCTCAGGTATATTGGGTTCTATCGCTCAGTCACAACTTCCTGAAAGGGGCATCGGCTGAGCCACTGCTGCCAGTAACTTCCTGTTTTCCTTCTATAGGTGATCCATCTGCCACATGTGCTTAACCCACTCACGTCACAATCATACCTGTCATTTGCACAAATAAACTTTAAACTCATAAAGGAAAGGTGGAATTCAGTATTGTAATGTGTGAATCACACGCAGCACTTCCCTGTGCTGCGTGTGGGGAATGTAAAGCCTGGCAGGCCACCAGGCTTTACTTGTGCCCCCACCAGGCTTAGGATTGCTTATTTATTAGTTTTTTTTAATGTCTGCAATTTCTAAGACTTTACAGTTGGTGTTCAGGTATTAATCTTCCAATCTTTCAATAACACATAATCACCAAGTGATATTTTCAAATTTCCTGTCAACTTTAATCATTTTTTAATTCAAAATCACAATGGACCGCTGGATGAATGACTGCAAAGTGCCCCAACCACCAGACTTGGCAAGTTTTCTGAAGGAAACCTTGTTTATACAAAACAAACATGGCAACAGGTCAATCCAAATAAGTGAAGATTTGCAAAAACACAATAAAGTTTATCCGTTTGAACATTAAATGTCTTGCCGTTGCAGTGAATTCAGTTGAGTGTAAGTTGAAAAGAATTTGCAAATTATTGTATTGCGTTTTTATTTATGTTTTACACCATGTACTGAAATTGGAATAGACCAGTGGCTATGTCAGGACAAGGAGGCAAAACGTCTGCTTTTGGCTGTTTTCTTTATGATGTTTTTCTGTAGGTTATCGATTCTCTATCTGGACTTATCTTGAGAAATGTCAGCACAGATATTTAATAGTTGGATCAGATATTACCTGCAGCTTCAGTTTCACTTTAACAGCAAAAACCTACATTTGTCCTTGATCATTTTATCCAAAGAGTTCAAAAGGTAAAAAAAAAATGTGATTTGGGTTTGAGAAAGTAGCTAAAAATATTAAGTGGAGAGGCTTGTCTGTCAGCAAATGATCAGTCACAACAGAAATGTGCACGTCATTCCCTGCTTATCTGCTCTCTATTTGTGCGTGTGTGTGCGTGTGTGTGTGTGTGTGCTGTCTTTATGTAAACCAGGACGTGAACCAGAAACTGCAGGAGGACAACCAGGAGCTGCGGGACCTGTGCTGCTTCCTGGATGACGACCGGCAGAAGGGGAAGCGGGTGTCGCGGGAGTGGCAGCGCCTTGGCCGCTTCAGCGCGGGGCTGATGAGGAAGGAGGTGGCCGTCTACCTGCAGAAGTTAAAGGAGCTGGAGCAGCGGCAGATGGAGGTTGTCCAGGAGAATCTGGAGCTGAAGGAGGTGTGCTTTATGCTGGAGGAGGAGCGAGCCGCTGCCACAGCTGGAGGAGGGGCCCACACCCAGGGAGATCCCGGCTGCAGGAGCTCAATAGACAGCCAGAACAGCCTGTCTCAGCTCGGAGGGGGCGGGCCTACACCTGGCTTGTTGCGGGACGTTGGCGATGGGAGTAGTACCTCCAGCGCAGGAAGCACGGATAGCCCCGATAAACCACACCACAAGTCACCTACCCTGAGCTCCAGTGCGAGCCCAGGATCAGGGCCAAGGTACTCCTCCTTGGAGAAACATAGAGATATGTGTGAATCTCCAGATAGGAGAAACAGCTCAACCCCTGAGTACCAAACGTTCCCTCAGTCTTGCCGCCCCCGTGGCGGGTCCCTTATAAACCTAGCACCCTATGGGCTTGGAGGACCTTGGCCTGAGAAAAACAGCAAATCCCCCACCAGGCTACCTTGTGACTCCAACTCCAAACCCTCCAGCTCTGATCTACTAGCTCAAAAACCGTTTCTGATGTCAGGGAACGCGTCACCAGGCTGCAGGAAGGGATCGGCTAAGTCCAGCCCAGAGCTGAGTCAGAGGAGGTTCCAGGGAGACAATCTGGGGGCTGGCTGCAAAGGTCCTGAAGCTAAGCAGCCCACATCAGGGTCCCTGGAGTACCTGAGGAAAGGCCGGGTGATTGTTGGGAGTCCAGAGTCTATGCGGCACCACCATAATTTCCATCACAGCCCTGGAGGGGAGAACAACAAGGGAAGGCACAGCGGCGGGTCCCCGGGCAGGGAGAGGGCTCAGAGGAGGGCTGTTGGAGAGGAGATGAGCACCCATCATCAGAGTCTGTACAACGGTAGGCACATTCATTCTTAATTCATATATTAATATTACTGCTAAATTATTAGCCCAGATTGCTATATTTATCATTAGAAGAGATGCAATAATCAGAATTTTATATCCAGTTTTCAGTTTTTGCAAAGCTTTGACCTGCCAATACTAATTTTGTTTGATTCAGATGTTAAAGGAAGATATGATAATAATGAATAATGAAGCCTAGGTGGAGCAGACGAATTGTTCGATACATGGTGCGTATCGAATAGATGGCCCATTATTGAACAATTCAATACAGATACATGTATTGTATCTATATATATATATATATATATATATATATATATATATATATATATATGTGTATGTGTGTGTGTGTGTGTGTGTTCACGTATATGCTGATGATCAAGTTGCACTCCTACAGGAATACTTTTCTCAGCTTTGTCTCTGCTCAGTCAGGAGCAGAGAGAATCAGCAGCAGCAGCCAGGAGCTGCTTACACATGCACATTATTGCCCTTGTGCCTTGTTATCTTATACGTTCTGGACTGTGCATAAAAAAAAAAAACAAAACAAACAACAAAAAAAACAGAACAAGAAACATATTGGCCTTCTGAGGAGTCCTTTTCTAATTTTAATGCACAGATGATGTTAATCATGATTTGGTCTGACAGGCCAGCAATTGATGGCAGTTTATCAAAGCAGAGTCGTGGAAATGTCTTGATAGCTGCCTTGCAAATAGTTATTGTGAAAGAATGGGAGCAAAACATGGTGATGCATTTAGCTCGTCCTGCTCATTTGAACTGATAGCATTATTAACTTCAATCAATTGAGCCAAACATCTTAAAACAATATGCTAAAAATACGTGGATGTGATATTGATTATCTTATGACATTAATATCAGTCTATGATATTAGTGAATAGTATACTGTTTTCATCATGTTCTTCATTCTGTTGTAGATGCATTCTGGAACTAGTTTTGACTGGAATCAAGCATTTTATATCTGACTGATCAAATACATAAAAAAAATCTCTTGGCAATCAATAAACTCACTATTTAGTAAATTGGAGCTACCAGTTTGCATTCACAATCACAATCTTTTGTGTTTCTGTTGTTACTAAGTGGAAAAAAAATCCAGGAAGTTAAAGTAAAGTATCTTCAGGGTTGGAGAGTTTCTTAAAAATGTTTAAAGCTTTAAAGTATTTGCTACCCATTGAAACAAATCTCCGGTTCATTCAAGCTGCGAGCCATTCTATCCTTGGACAAGACATTTCACCCGTCTTGCCTGCTGGTGGGGCTCAGAGGGCCCGGTGGGGCTCAGAGGGCCCGGTGGGGCTCAGAGGGCCCGGTGGGGCTCAGAGGGCACGGTGGGGCTCGGAGGGCACGGTGGTCTGCCTCGGAGCAGCTGTGGCTTCAATGTTGCTTTCCACCATCGGTAGATGAAAGGCTGAATAACTGATTGAAGTGTGAAGCACTTTGGAGATCTTTGACTTGTTAGATCACTATATAAATGCATGCCTTTTACCATTTAACGTTATTAAATTTCTCATTTTATTCCTAAAGAGAAGGTTGATTTGGTCAGGATCAGTACTAAAAGTTCAAAGCTATATAAAGAAAACAACGAAGAAAACTGAAAGTAGTCACTAAAAGATACTGCAGAAAACTCAGTCAACAATGATTATAGATCTGCTGCCCTTATGGTGCGTTCACACCAAACATGTTACGCAAGTCAAAAATCTGTCCAACGCTTCAGGTTCGATGCGTCTGCACTTTGAATCCAGATGGTTGACATTTTGCTCTACACCTAACGTTTCGTGTGTCTGGTTTGCATTCAAAGTCTATGTGGAGGCGCGTCGAGAGCACGTCAGATGTGTCAGCTCTAGCCATTGTTTTCTGTTGGACACGTTGGACGCTCTTGATGCATCAAACGCTCAAAGCTCTCCAAATCACGCTGCGCTAAATGCTCGACACGCCTCCACATAGATTTTGAATGTAAAGCAGACGTTTGGTGTGAACGCCCCATTACATTCCACAACATGAAGGAGAGACTCCTGTTTGCCCACCTGAGTAAACAGACAAGCACATATCAGGATCCTCTGCAGTTTGCTTATTGCCCGTGGAGTCGGCGGTGAAGACGCCATCATATACCTGCTTCAACAAACCCACTGTCATCTGGACAAAGCAGGCAGCCCTGTGAGGATCATGTTCTTTGATTTCTCCAGTGCATTTAACACAATTCAACCTGATCTGCTCTGTTAGAAACTCCAGAAGACACCGGCGGAGGCCTCAACAGTCTGTTTGTGAGGTACAAACTGTGGTCTGTACCTCACAAACAGACCACAGTTTGTAAGACTGAAGGGAAGGACTGTCTGTCTAACAGCAAGATGGTTAGCAACACAGGAGCACTGCAGGGCACTCACCATTCCTCTCACCATTCTTTTTCTCTCTGTACAGTTCAAGCTTCCAGATCGGAGACTGATAATGGGAGTCAGACTCCCATTATCTACAGAAATACTCAGATGATTCTGCAATTGTCAGGTGTATCAAAGATGGACAAGAATCTGAGCACAGAGAGTTCGTGAACTGCTTTGTGGCATGGCATTGAAAGAAAGAACAATGTCATGTAGATTTGAGGAGAAAAGGCATTAGGCCAAATCCTATTTTCGTCATGGGAGAAGAGGTGGAAGAATATAAATATGACCCATTTTAAGATTTTTCTCTATACTTAAAATAACTCTGTCATGAATTTTGAATTGAATACGAGTTACAGCAACATTTATTTTCCCTTTGGGATCAATAAAGTACTTTTGAATTTGAATTTCTGTTTGGTGCATTGTTATTGTAAGTTTGTTGACAACTGGGTACTTAAGCTTCTAGAAATGTTCTTCCACTCAGAAGCAGTTCTTAGAATATTGCATCCAGGGAGGAACAGTTAGAGCAGACACAGCAGCACATGTGCCTTTGGACGTGCCGCCTAAAGGCACAGCATGAGTCTGTTAGTCGTGTGCGTCTTCAGAATAAAATCAGCTGGACTTCAGTCAGCTTCCAGAAAGCTCGCAGTTGTTCTGGCACGCTGCACATTTACATTTAATTCTGTCTTTTCCTATCTCCCTCTCTCACCTCTTGTTTCACAGTAATCTGTTTGGAGCAGCGTGAAGCACAGAGCCAGACAGATATCGGTTTGTAACCTATAGACCCTTGAGAATTACATCAGCTGTGCCGCGCTGCTAAGTAAATTCCCAACGATGCTCGCACATTTCCCTCAGTCTCAGAGCACCATCACCACAGCCATAGATTGGGAATGAGTGCTGTACGTGTGTGTCTGAGCATCGGTTGTTCATATTAGAGTTCTTGCAGCACAATGTGAAAAATTCAGAAGAAGATTACAGTTCGGAACGTGCAGTCCTTTCTGTGGACCAGGGGACACGAGTTGTTGATCTGCTTTATTACAAAGGCTCTTAACAAGCAGTGCTGGTAGATTTCTCGGTGAAGAAAAGTAAAATTACCGGGCCTTGCCATCTAAGCAAGAAGTAGTTCATAACAGGTAGGCCACAGCTATGTGAGCAATAAAATAGATCATTAAACATGCAGGGAAGTAACTGTTAGACTGATGAAGATAAGGTTTCCCTGTGGAGGGTCAAGCCATCAGAAATGCTGAAATGAAAATGAACTATGCAAATCTTCATTTTGACTTATAATCGTAGTTATTTATTTCCTTCACAATGTCCATTTACATTCTCATTTCCATTTAGAACCAAATAAATCCACCATAACTGTAAACTAAGCACAGCAGTCACACACAGCCCCGTACCATTAGCAACACTTGAGCAGAATTAATCTTGATCTTAAGCAACCACATCCCCTTCCAACGCACTTAGTACACAAAATGAAATACACACCCTTGTGGGCATAAACACAGGAAAACAAGATAAATGGCTCCTCCAGCTCTGCTTGTGGAAGTAAATGTGTTGGGCCTCAAGTTGACACAAAGACAACAATTCTGACAGACAGGACAAGTTAAAAAAAAAAAGCTCCAGAAATATTTTATGAAATAGTTGCTATCAGCAAAGAGGGAAACAATAGATGTTTATCATTGTATTCACAAAATCAATCATTCATTTAATCTATAGGTGTTAATGGTTTTCTATTGCCTTTCAATATATCCATTGCTCCTGCACAAGAAGATACTCATCTTCTGATCTTCATCCATCTCCTCCACCTGTTATTCTTTCTGTTTTCATTTCTTTTTTCCAACATCACATGGCTCTCTTTCTTAGCAACCCCATCTTTGAGAGCAGTTCCCCTCCTCTTGGTGCTGTTTTGCATGCAGCCAGTGTAAACCTTAATCAGGGAGCCTCCATCACAGACTAGTACCTTTACAAATGAAGGGTCTTTAACTTTGAAGGTCTGTCTCCACTGCAGTCGGTGTGCTAAATAATTCAGTGGGCACCAAGTAACTTTCCATACTTATTCTGCTTATAACAATTCATGATTTTACTAAACAATTGACCTTGAGATGAAGAAAGACAAGATTATTAGGTTCTGGCACATAGGTCAGATCGAAATGGTGGTGGTGCGAAACTACCCCAACCTCCACCTAGATCTCCGCCCAGCTCCCAGCCATCTCAGTAACTGGTTAAGGTTGTTCTGCAGTGGCCAATGCACTCTTGTTTTAGAGGCTTGCAGGCACAATCGTCTGTCGCATGTAGAAAAGGCTTGAATGAAGCGCTCTGATAGATGTGATGTTAACACCTGAACTTCAATCTAATGCTGCCTGCAACAAGTTCTCCAGTTTCTTTTCAGAGAAAATTCAAAAGATCGGAGGATTAATCTGCACATCCTCTACAAAGCCAGTACCAATGGTATGCCCAAACAAAACAAATTCAGGAACAATGACAAAATTTCAACTACTAAATTATAAAAACCTTGAAGAGATTATAAGTCAATTAAGCTCCAGTTCCTGCTGTCTGGATGTCCTACTCCCACATTTCTTTAAGTCCTGCCTGTCGTTGCTAATGATCTGATCCAAATAGCGAACTCATCGCTGTCTTCAGGTGTTTTCCCCCAGGCTTTGAAAACAGCAGTTATCAAGCCACTGATAAAAAAAGAACAATCTAGACAAAACTACTGCAGAATTACAGGCCGATCTCCAACCTCCCATTCATCAGCAAAATTATTGAAAAAGCAGTTTTTAAACAATTAAATAACTTCCTAACAATAATGAATCGGTTTGACTCCTTCCAGTCTGGTTTTCGTGCTCACCACAGCACAGAGACGGCCGTCTCCATCAATGACACGGAGACGTGTTCAATGATATCCATATAAATACAGACTGTGGGAGAACCACAGTGCTGGTTCTGTGCAGCTTTCGACACTGTTGACCATGATATTTTACTGAATTGACTGGAGAGTTGGGTCGG